CCTATACCGTGTACTTAACTTACTTGCCTCTTGCATCTCACTGCCAGCCATTATTGGCTAACGAATCGCGCCTTTACGTCTTGTTTACGAGGTGCCAACGCTTCTTCCTGCAAAGGCGCGGCTGCAAAATTCCATGATAATGACCTGCATGGAGCGATTCGAGATATGCAAGCGATGCGCGAGTTTGACATTTTATTGATAAATGTAGGAGAAAACTATACGTTATATAACATCACACAAAATATGTCAGTGTTACGCAAATCGGGCAAAAATGTTCTTACTATTGTAATATAGGCATCAATTCATACGACCTGATGAAAAAAAACAAGGCCCCGAATCTAGTCCTGAAAAATATTTTCGTTGATCCGTAAAATTATACGTTTCTCACTCACTTTCTCATTGCCAAGAAAATTACAGGAAGAACTGTACTTGGAAATTGACCTTATAATTGATCCGTGGTAAACACTCAGTATTTGATTTTTAGATTATATTATAGTCTTCATCTTTGGTCAGATAAAATTCTGAAATAACGAGATGTCATGGGGGAAATCAGGGGCGTTTTCACGTGCATTTCCACTGGGAATGGATGAAGACCAAAATTCAATGCTCTGAATGTTGACCTGGAGAGTTACAAGACAATAACTGATGTACAGTGTGAGGAAGTCGACGATATCTGCACTGAGCGTTTCTTTTTTTTTTTTTGCGGCACAAACTCAAGTGCTCATAAATTTTCTCTGTGGCTCTACCGACTTGTTGGACGAGGTTGAGGTCCCTTAGCGGTTCTGCAAATATTTTATTTTTGACGTAGTGTTTTTGTTGACAATTTACAATGTAATGCAATAACTTCAGGGCAATTTACTCAGAACGGAATGGATTTTTTTAGTTATTGTTTTATTAACAATGTAGCTTGGTTCTCAAGACAAGAAGTGAAGATGTGGTCTCCTTGATTTTTTATAACTCAATCAACCATTTCTGCCTCTATAGAGTCTATGTCCTTGTTAGTCTGTAAGTAAGAATACTGTCTGTACCATAGTCTCGTGTGTGCCCAGTCTGCGTATACCCGGGGGGCTACCCGGGCGTGTCGCAGTATAACGGTCTGGGGCCATACTTTCAAAACTCGCTAAGTGAACGTAAGTACTTACGCTCTATTTTCTTGTCTATGATTGGTGAATTTTGCCTGAAAGGCCGTCAAAAATTGGCGGATGAACTTAAGATCTCTTAACTTTTTTTTGAAAGTATAGGCCTAGGCCCCGACTTCAAGATAGCCTCAAAATTTCCTTGATAACAATAAATTTTATCAGTAATTGATTGTAAAATTCTGCTATACTCGTAATTTACAGTCTCTGGCATGAATTGTGTCTATTCTTGATACTAATTTGTGTGTTATTTATTGTGCAAACTTCAATTAAAACCCTAGGTAACGACCGTTCGACTAATAAAAAGTCATGTTCCCGAAGCTGATAGTTCAGACTATAAAAAACGAACTTTATTATTTTGCGCCTTCTCACCTAGTCTGATTTTCAAGTTACCTTATCGCGATCGTAATTTTTCAAGTTAACTAACAGAAAATTCAGATATTAAGAAGTCCATTTATAATACCTACCAACAATGTCTTCGAACAACAAGTACCTCCAAAATCTCCAGTCGTGTGTACAAATGAATCCCTGATGTGAGACATAATATAATATCATAATTGTTATGTCGTGGTCCTGAACAAACTGAACAATAATCAAGAAATTGCTCTTCAGTATTCCCTGAGCACTGCCGTGGATCAGTGTTGCGTAAAGCACATCCTCGTCATTCTAGACAAAACCCTGTAACTTCTATCTTTGTCCCAAATTGAACCATTCGCCATGTAAATAATCGTCGACCAGAGACATTCATCGGTAACTGATCGACCTGATACTGAAGCGATTAAAAATTTATGAAATGCTGCAGTAATTGAATTTTATTTATATAGTAATTTAGTAGCGTTTAATTGATTATTTGTTTCCCCATGCATCAATTATTGGCCGAGCGAATCGAAAAATCGATTGATATTTATTTCTGTGCCTTGTTGGACCTTTAAAGGCGAAACTAACTTACTATTATTCTAAGTTAAAATCAACACAAAGACGCATTTTCCACTATATAGGACAGTAAAGGGGTTGGCAAATCCCCCCTCTTACCCCCACCTGCACTCCATTCTCCTCCCCCAAGCCATACACACCCACACGCCTCTAAACCGAGGATGACATCATCCCATGCAAGGCAACCTCGCTCGTCTTCCCTCTTCCCGGCCATTGAGTTTGAGGCACTGCAGTCATAAATTCATGTACTGACTTGCACCATTGCTGAGGTTTGCAGCTCCTCTTCAAGTAGCATCCAAGCTAAAGCACCTAGACCCATAGCACGAAATAAATCGCTTAAGAGCATTCATGCAAGTATGTACAATTGCTCAAATATCTGATTTGATTTCAGTATTAATATTGACCATGCTTAATGGGTTTCAAAGTTTAATCTAACTCATTACCTAATAATTTAATCATATTTTTAGCCAATTTTTATGTTTTCACCGAGAAAAGCTCGGCTGATGACGTGAAATAATGTAGCTCTCGACACATCACCCTCCTGCGCTCGAAATTGTGTTGTGCATGTGTTTTGTGATTATAAAACGAATGGAGTGCTTGACAGTGCTTGCTTTTGTTTTAAATGTTGTGCAATAATTGGCTGTGAATGCATGGCTTGTGTATTGCGCTTGAAGTGATAGCACGAGTGAACGAGTCTCTGTTTAGCGTTGCTGTGAATGCTTACGGTAAGCTGCTGCGTGCAGGCTGGGCGGGTTCAAGGGACGGAACGAGAGCGCAGACTTGACCGCCTTAGGTCCATTACACTGAGCACGTCTTGCCGGGGATATCAATGAGTCCTGTTGTGTATGGGTGACTAGGGAAAACTGAATGCGAGCTGAACGAAGGTTAATGGAAATTGGTAAAGCAAGCTTGAGGATTGCGAGCGGTAGATTGTTTATTGTTGGATGATAGTGTGTGTAATAGTTAGGCGAAGACAATGACAAAGCTACTTACGATACAGATTAAATATTGTTATGAAGTGAGCTTTAGTAGTTAATCGTTTTGCCTGTTAACTTCAAATTCTACACCAAGATTATTCATTAGTTGATGTAGAAACATTAGCGCTGCTGCTTTGCAAAACTTGTTTAATTTTTTCACACCGACAATATTCTTAAAATGTTAAGGAAAATTTAGGGCAACATCTTTGCAAAACTCGTCTCATTTGCAAGTCCGTAAGTTGCCATTTAGTCATTCTCAAGTGCAAAATCACATCTATTCCCTTCCGTGTCACTTCACTTGTTCCTTGTGTCTTATTTTAGTTTAATAAAAGTGATTGATTTAAGTTATACTGACATCCGTTTTCGCTTCCTCGTTATTAACAATGCTTTTACATTATTGTTTTAAGCATTATCAGTTATCAAATTTATAAGGCCGGTATGGCCAGAGAGAAAAAAAAATTCTGACGAAAGAAAGAAAGTGAAAATACCGTCGAAAATTGTTTTAAGCATTATCAGTTATCAAATTTATAATGCCGTTATGATCAGAAAGAAAAAAAATGTCTGACGAAAGAAAGAAAGTGAAAATACCGTCGAAAATACCATGCTTGTCTGGCTGGCTGCTGCTAGCTTGGCGCCGTCTGGCACGAGGGCGATGTTGTCGTTGCAACTTTGTAATCTTTGTAAATTATTCTTTGTAATCGAATAAAAACCCGACATCCTCGCCAACATTGATCTTTGAATTCATTTTAATGCGCTGGGTGCAAAAAATTGATCCGCTACACTTTAACTTCAATTCTCATTCACTTTATGATAAATCGTATCCCAACTTCAATTCACATATATAAATTCACAATTCAAATTCAATTTATGATAAATCGTATCCCAACTTCAATTCACATATATAAATTCACAATTCACATTAAATTTATGGTAAATCGTATCCACAATTCTCATGACGATATGGCTTATATTAAATCCAAATCCACGTTATTACGGATCAAGCCAAGGGCGTTTGAGTCAATAAATAAATTCCTGTGATGAGGTTTTGTTGGCCTTCTGAGTTTTTTTTTCTTCAAAAACTTGGCTCAAAGTTTGGAGCGAGTGTCTGAATGGTCATCTTTTTACTTATTTTTTTGCGACGTGTTTAATTCCATTGCTGCTGCGCCAATGTTAATTTGTTCATGTTTGCATGGATATGCACTTGAAGCTCTGGATCGTAGCTTTAAATATGGAATTACCAATGTATAACTTATTTAAAGAAGTTACACTATTATTTCGTTAATTGGTACGCATGAAAATATTTTATTCAGAGATCAATTAGCTTATGGAAGCCGGGAAATACTTTTATTATAATATGGGTTACATACGGCCTCGAGTTCAATTTTCGCACGATGCAATTGTTAATAAAGACGATGTGTCCTCGAAGGCCGCGAGTTTCGACTCAGTCGCCGCATTCTCACTGATTCAAAATGTTTACGGAAGGTAAATAAGATGTACCTATTCTAGTCGCCTGGGTCAATCGATCTGCAGTCAAGATAAATGAAGTCTAATGTCGTGTGTCACGACGCAAGCGTGTCGAACTGGAGAGAGTCTTCTTATATTGACGATGAGTTATTTATTCAGCTCGATTTTATTTCGTTGTAGGTAGTTTTGAATTAAGGTTAGGCAATACATACGTTTATGTGCGAGATTTACAGTTTCATCGTCTCCAAGAAGCTTCTGAAAAACACGGTCCATAATCTTTTTGGCGTGTGTGTAACTTACCTGGAGAAAAAAGCAAAGAAATTTTTTTTTTACACTTGGAGAGTATTTTTCGTCAATCGTAAATTTAAAACCGCAGTTTTAATTTCACCTTCTATATTCCAGTTCTATTAATTGTTATTTTTTGTGTACACCAGCTATAATATATAAAAACTCATCATTTCAATGTCTCTGATGCCTAGTTTCTTCTCAGGTCCACGAAGATGCTTGAGGACATGGACAGACCAGGCTTCTTCAAGCAGTACTACCAAACCGTCCGCCAATCCATAACTAATGACGTGCTGCAGGAGTTCTCAAAACTCTCCTCCGATGAAGAAAAAGTCCGCTTCTGTTACGAGAAAATCCCGGCAGTACACGAAATTGATATACGCACATTTTATCATGGAAAATCAGAAAGAGATGCACTCGAGAGAAAAGAAGCTGGAAACAAAGCTTTTGGACGGAAAAAGAACGTAGAGGCGTTGCATTGTTATAGTCAAGCAGTTGTAAAGGCACCCGTGTTATCTGGTAAATATTGGAAGTTGATCAGTGAGTGCGGAGTCGTGAATGTCTTCTAGTAAAATGAAATTAGTGCCTGAAGGAACTCAGAGAGTTTGTACAAATTATAATTTGTTCGTTGAGCCCATATTTTTCAAGTATTTTATTTTATTCGTTTAGTGTATTTTCAAATGTACTTAAGGTTTCACAAGTTGTTTAAAAAAAAACTTTCTTAAAGCCATTGTTTCAAGTATTTTATTTTATTTGTTTAGTGTCTCTTCAAATGTACTTGAGGATTCGCAAGTTGCTTTAAATTAAAAACCTTTTTTCTATTTTTGTTAAAGTTATAGTCAATATTCTTTCCATATTCATTATGTTTTCATAATCTGCGTCATTTATAAAATTTATTCCTTTTCAACTATTTCAAAAGCTCCTTTATTCTAATTTTTAATTCCGTTGTTACCTGTAACCTCGCAGAGGAGAACGCCGACCCCCGCAAGATGACGCTCTACCCCATCTGCCTGGCTAACCGCTCCGCTGCGCTCTACCACCTCAAAGACTTCTACTACTGCGTCAAGGATATAGATGAGGCCCTGGAGCATCACTACCCCAAGGTAGGAGGCTTGTTCTGCTGAATATTGTTTATGGTTTTTGTCCATAAGTGTATAGTAATATATAGATGAGGCTCTGGAGCATCACTACCCCAAGGTAGGAGGCTTGCTCTGCCAAAACTTGATTGTGGTTTCAGTGAGTATGACGATTGAGGCTTCAGACTCGGTGCATCAATACATCAGGCGTGTTGTCTACTTCCTTTGATGTTAAATATTGCGTCATTAATTGAATTTTGCCACTGAATAATTAATAATCTCATAATTTAGTGTTGTTTAATGAAGTATGTATGGTTATGGTTAATGTACAGTATAATCTCTAGAATTATGGTTAATGTATAATCTCATTCTCTTATTTTTTAGACGCTAATAAATTTTTGTATTTAAGAATGAATAATTGCATATAAGAAAGAATTACATTATTTAATGTAATTAATTAATTAATTACATTTAATTAATTAATTAATTAATTAATTACATTTATGAATGAATAACTTAGAAAGTTATGCGAGAACCATTAGTCAGTGTTGTTACTTTCTTACCTCTCATTGAGTTCATATTGCGAACTCAACCAAGTAAAGCTCACTGTTTTGTACAAAAGAGAATAACTACGTTGACGAGTTTGGATCTGAGGATTTTACAAGTGTTCAGAGTCGTACCTAAAAAGAACTTTTATGACAATTGTGGCTGCTCAGAAAGCGTACGCATGGCCAAAACTGACCTCATATTCAAACAAATAATGATGACTTGAAACTAAAATATTCAGTTACTTAATTAATGGTTATAGTTTCTGAAACTATTTTGCTTTATTAGCTCCACTAAAGAAAATCTCGCCGGTCTGTCTCATCAATGTTAATCCCTGACACCTCTGCCACACAGGAGCTCAAGTTCAAGCTGTACAAACGCAAGGCGCGTATCTTGGTGGACCTGAAGCGGCACTTGGAAGCTCGGGACTCGTTTCGACAGGCACTCAAATGGCTCGACTGGGCCAAAATGGATCGTGATAAGAGGATGGAAGTTCAGAAAGACATACAGAAGTGGCTTAGCATATTTGAGAGCGGCAAAGTCGTCAAGAATGGTGAGCTATTTTATGTTGGAATGACGAGTTTGTCGGTATTTAATCAAATGACCATAGGTGGTTGATTAACTAAAGATAGATTTTGAAAAATTCTCTCTGGGAGGCATATGGATAGTTTGCTGACGAAACAATTGTCGTGCAGTAACAAATCTATTGTTCGTTTCATGTTTTCTAGATAAATTAATTCCTGCCCTCTCCAATCTCGGAAAATTACTCATTCTAAAACTATATTCGCAATTTATCCCTAAAGCGAAATGCCTTGAAAGATATTTCAGGTAATATTTTTTCATCGTTCCCCTTTTCCTTTACCGAATTCTACCCTTTGACCTTTTTTCCCCAAACTTCACAGTGCTAGAAAACTGTACTAGTTTTCTTCACGGTGCTAGAAAACTGTACTAGTTTTCTTCACAGAGCTATAAAACTGTACTTGTGTTGGTTTTGCAGTGGGAGACTTCCGTGTGAAGCTGTTCCCCACGGTGCCGCCGCTGACCCAGGGCCCACATTCTGTCTTCCCGACGCTGTCCAGCAAACTCGAGATGCGATACTCGCCCACGCAGGGCCGCTACGTCGTCGCCGCTCAGGACATCGAATTCGGCGACGTCGTCTGCACCGAGAA